TGTTCAACTAATAAGATTTAATAAGAAAAAATTATTAATTTATTTAGAAAAAATAAAAGAAATTGATTTATCTAATATAAAAAAAAAAATCCGGTTCTTGTTCGGTTCTTCGGTTCTTGGTCTAGACCCGAGACCCGACCCAAACCCATCGGTTCTCGATTCGGGTATACGTTCGGGTATTTAATTTATGAAGAACCGCTCGATTCGGTTCGAGTTCGGTTCGGTCCGGTTCGGTTCAGGACTTTTGGACACCCCTAATTTGAGATGCTAAAATTCAATCTTGAAAATGGTTCTTAAAATTTGATTTCTGGTTCCGAATTTATGTGTGTAACGTAATAAAATCATATCGAATATTCAGGCGGAAGAGATACTTATATCAATTAAGATTTTGGGTTCCATCTTAAAATGTCAACTTTATTAATAGGAGTAGCACAAATCCTTATAAATTGGTTCATATTTTCATATTTATTCGATGCGAAATTTTATCCTTAAACAGACCTCCCGCAAGATGTTGGCTCATCTGAATAGATCAATCTTGTAATTCTTGTTCAATTTTTTTTAAGCCTTAATCGTCAAATTGCTCGTTAAAGATTAAAGAGTTTTGATACCATGTTAATATTTGGAGTTCATAAAATGTCAATCTTATTAAGAGTAACCTAAATCTTTATAAATTTATCCATGTTTTCATTTTTATCCGATATAGGATTTTATCTCTTAACATGCCCTCCAAGATGGTGACTCATTTGAACAGATCAATTTTGAAATCAGTGTGCTCATTTTTTGAGTCTTAATCGAATCGAATTGTTCGTTAAAGTTTAATGGTTTGATACCATATTAATATTTAAAATTCCATTAAGAGGAGTAGCTTAAATTATTATAAATTGATTTATTTTTTCATCTTTATTTGTTAAGATTTGAAGTTCTATCTTAAAAGTTCAACCTTATTAAGAGCAGTCATCCAAACTCTTATAAATTGGAGTATGTTTTTATCTTTATTAGACATGTGATTTTATCCCTTAACATGTCCCTACAAGACGATTGCTCGTTTGAACAAATTAATTTTGAAATCCGTATACTCATTTGTTTGAGTTTTAATAGGATCAAATTACTCGTTGAAATTTAATATACTCTGATATCATGTTAAAATTTATGGTTTCATCTTAAAATGTCAATCTTGTTAAGAGAAATAATTCAAACTCTTATAAATTAATTCATATTTTCCAATATCAACCAAAATTGAATCAGATCCGTCCAGTTAAATCCAATCCATTGAATTCTAACATCTTATTAAAGTTTGATTTCAAAATTATGGTGATGTGTTGAAGCTCTAGCGTTGAGACAATTAAATGGACTACTGAAAGGAAAATTAGAGGAAATTAGACACGGTGCCCTAAAAAAATGAAGGAATTGATTAATACACATAAAACCAAATTAAAGTTTTAATATTACGTCAATTTAAAACATAAAACATTTGAAAGTCGGCATAATTTTACTTCTTAAAACTTTTATTATTAAGAAATTTTAGTTTGATACTGTATTTTACACTACGAATATTCATTTTGAGCGATTCAAAATCTATTAGAAAAGTTACGATGTGGCCATGATAAATATGTCGGGATGAAGTCTAAATGTCGAAAATTATCTCGCATCAAAT